TAGGGAATAGAAGATGCGTGTGAATGTTGATAGGAAGCCTAAATTTTAGATGACTTTAACCGGTAAATTCTCCGCCCTGGTCTGATTGAAATTTACACTCCTGTTCAAAAGTATTTAGACACTAATCGAATATGCAGTAAATGTTACCAGGCACCATGAAATTGCTAAAACTTTGAAATAAATATTGTTTAGGGGATACTGAAGCTCGATGGACAATGCTTATGCTACTATTAAAGTACTGAAAGTATATCATTTTTACCGTACAAACCAGGTGTCCTAATACTTGCGAGCGATAGTGTAGGTGTGAATGAAGAGTATGAGTGTTCTGTTTACGCGTTCGAGTGCTTGGGACGAATAGATGACTTTAGGCGTGCGTGGCGGAACGTTTTCCGGGAATGAAAGAAGAGTGTTAGGTAAGGATGGAAGGGGAAGGGATATGGATGTGTTTCTGAGTGGAAGGAGGGGATGTGCAGGGAAAGCGCGAGCGGACTGACATAAAGGGCAGGCAGAAAGAGATTTGAAAGCGAACAGACAGCAGAATACAGAGCGCAGAGTTATGTACAAGGCATTGGTTATAATATTCAAGAGTATACATTTTTTATTGCATAAATCAATACCCTTACACGTTCAGAATATATTCCAGAAGCTTCAGAATGAAATTTTCTGTATTAACATTCCTGCAGACGAGATTACACCTGCGCGGCTAGGTGGTACACGCGGCCGAACGTTAGGCGTTAGGACTGAATACGTTGTGCGGACTTACGGATATGGGAGCTGACAGCTAGCATTATAAAGGGCGGGATTCATAGTCGTTGCTTGTTCTTAAGCAAATGCTTAAGTTCCCAGTTGTAAATGTGTAGTTCATACGTATACATGTATACATTCATAACTGGGAACTTAAGCATTTGCTTAAGAATAAGTAGTGACTATGAATCCTGGCCATAGTCTTCGAAAATAAATTAAACTGTGGCGGTACTACCTCCTATATTCGCCACTAGAGGTCTACCGACTTGACACCTTTCCCGCAACTACCTGAAGCCTTCCTCGTTTGTATACAATAAGGTCAATGTCCCTATTTCTAATCATGTATCGATTTCTGCTCAGTACGTATATATTTATTTAATGTAAAAAGTTAAATAATAAGTTAGTTATACAAAAAATTATTTAAATTAGTTCAGTATTTCCGTACAAAATACTATAGCCCGCTGTTCGATAGATGCAGGATTTTAATAGAAAAAAATTTAATAAGTGTGTCCGTCGCAGAGAAACGTGATTTGAGCGGTACCGAATGAAATTGTACAACTAACTGACTTGTCAGAGGAACTGAACTTCTATTTATAATATAAATAATCTATGCTTCACATATTCAAGAACATACTTGTACCAGCTATAATCAGGAACATTCTTCCAGGAATTCTCCTAATCGAAAACTTTTTTCCATGTGACATTTAATTTCGTATCGTGATTCTTTTTTATAATAAATGTAAGTTTGTGTTATTTACTTTGTATTAACCTCTTCTCAAGTCCCCATTATTTCAATCTGTATATGATAGTATTTCATAGTTCTAAAATAAGAATATTCTAAGTGAATTTCTCTTTCGAATCCGTCTGGCGTTGTAAATTCCAGGCTCGACCGTCGTGGTACGCGTACAGTTGCGACTGTTGTCCGCCAAATTAATATTAGTCAACTGTTTCAATATTCTTTAAGTGAGAATAACTAATATAATTGCTCGACCGGTGGAGCTGACGAATCGTGAGGTGAATGTTTTCGAATGAATTGAGTCCGTGTGACTCTTGTCGAAACGAGTACGTGTTTTCGAATGACTGTTCCAGTGCGAATGTTCGAGTACGAGTGTATGTTTTCGAATGAGAGTATATGTTTGAACACGAGTGTATGTTTTCGAATACGAGTGTATGTTATTCGAATGAGAGTATATGTTTGAACACGAGTGTATGTTTTCGAATACGAGTGTATGTTTTCGAATGACTGTTCGAGTGCGAATGTTCAAGTACGAGTGAATGTCGAGTACGAGTGTACGTTTTCGAATGAGAGTGTATGTTTGAATACGAGTGAATGTTCGAGTTCGAGTGTATGTTTTCGAATGCGAGTGTATGTTCGCGTACGAGTGTATGTTTTCGAATACGAGTGTATGTTCGCTTACGAGTGTATGTTTTCGAATGACTGTTCCAGTGCGAATGTTCAAGTACGAGTGAATGCTCGAGTACGAGTGTATGTTCGAGTACGAGTGTATGTTTGAATACGAGTGTATGTTTTCGAATACGAGTGTATGTTTTTGAATGACTGTTCTAGTGCGAATGTTCAAGTACGAGTGAATGTTCGAGTACGAGTGTATGTTTTCGAATGAGAGTGTATGTTTGAATACGAGTGAATGTTCGAGTTCGAGTGTATGTTTTCGAATGCGAGTGTATGTTCGCGTACGAGTGTATGTTTTCGAATACGAGTGTATGTTCGCTTACGAGTGTATGTTTTCGAATGACTGTTCGATTGCGAGAGTATGTTTACGAATGAATTGAGTCCGTGTGACTCTTGTCGATACGAGTGTTTGCGAATCACTGTAGAGTTTCGTGTGACGTCGCGCTTCCTCCAAGTTCGCTGAAGGCGTTACCAAAATTCGCCTCCTCATTGGTTATGCCCTGAAAGAGAAGGCAAATTTCTCGATTTTTCCAAGTGACGTGGAGATGGAAAACCTCTCCTTCAGGGCGAAGCGGACACAAGAAAAATATCGCGCACGTGGTCACGGTGCGACTTGACCGCGACGAAATTTCGAGTCTCCCAACGGTAGGGTTTATGGCTCTATTGTCTGCGAGTCAACGCGCCCCGATAAGGCCCGGCGCGGATGGGTCCCAGGATACCGAGCACATGTGGCGGACTGCAGACCAAATGTTCGTTTCTTTTGTCTCTTATTCCCTTTGTCAACGAAATTGAAATTTCAAGGGGCCAGTCTCGAAAATGGATAAACTGTTTGAACGAAGGAAATAAAATAATAAAAAATAACGGTATCGTCAGACTCTAAAGCCGTCGTTTCGGGTCTACGACGGAACACGTGTGATTGGAAACTTTTTGCCAGGGTTTGTACTAAGATCAATGTTTCAAATTCAAAGCACGACAACAAGTTCTCGTATTACGTCAGAAAAGCTATTCGCGAGAGGCGGGCTTCAGACGTTCGTCGTCATCGTCCCTTTTGAAACATTCAGACACATCGGTGGTAAGCTTTCGCACGCGTCTTCGAGCCGGCGCAGCGCGCTTCGAATTGTTAGGAGTTTCTTCAGGATCCAGTTTCAGAGTCAAGGGCTTAAAAGCCGTCGTTCGATGAAGTTCGGTCACGTTTGAAAGTTTGACACTTAAACGTTGTTTGTCGGACTAAGCTCTGCCGCGTCACACCGCCTTCTCTCATGCTACGAACTCAGATCGGGCCGGGCCATTAACGTAAAAACCTTCACTTTCGGCAGTTGAGAAAACAGTCGAAAAGTGGCCGCCGCCTCTCCCCATGACATAAAGGGAGCAAGCCCTGCGAAACTTTCCTCTCCCGTAAGAAGCCTTTCGATATTATGAAACTTTCAATTTCCAAATGTACAGCCGGTTCGTGCTTTAATAAGCGTACCTCGTTAGAAGGTATTCCGGCGTGATGAACTCGTGTATTTGAAATTTCTTGCTCCATTAGTTAAATATGTATTCTACGTTATAGTAAATGCAACGGGGGTTCACTGTAGACATGATTCTCTGTCGTTTTTGTTAGTCTTCTTTGGAAATATGAGGAAGAATGTGAAATGGTCGCGTTGCGATGAAATGAGATCTAACAACATTTTTTGTGAATTAAAAATTGTGAATAAAGGAAACGAACAATTAAACGTTTTATTCATTGCCAGGCGAGAATCTGCTGAAAATGTTACAGTAACGAGGCGGTAGAATACAAACATATACAGCCCTAGACAAAGAATAAAAAGAATGTTCGAAATATTTATAGGAAATACTAAATTGTACGTGATATTTATTTCCCATTATGAAATATGAAGTAATATGTCGGAAATAGGAAAATTTTGAAATTTCCTATATTGGATACTTTTCCTGTCTAGAGGAGGTGGTCCAAATACAGGCTAGGGTTTAAATATGGGCTAGTTGAAAGTCTAGGATCATGTTAGGTGTTTTATCCTAGCGAGAATAACGTGAAACTACGAAGAGGAAAAGGAACTTATTTTAACATCAAATCACAAAGCAAACATGTTTTAGATATATTAAAGTGTCACATTTTAAAAATCTTCAATAGGTGTGGCAATAAGTCTTGCAGTAAAAGTACTAACCCACATTTAGACTGCCTCCTCTACATACAGTATACTATCCAATATAAAAATCGATGCATTATACACAAATTATTAAAATATTTCGATATATTTAATGCACATTATCCAGATTAAAAAGCATGTTTAGCGAATCAGACGAAAGGCTTACGGAACTCTGAAATCGTTAACACTGCATAATAGTTCACAGAAGGAAAGTTCACCTCTGGCCCATTTCAGAATATTAGGTGAAATATTCCCACATGTGTCAGCTTATTATACGTTCATTGTATGAGCGTCGGAACTAAAACTCGCCAAAAGCGGCTGAAATTCAATTTCCACCGGTTGACAAATGAAGCGTGCATTAAAGGCTTCTAAACAGAAGTTAAACATTACGTGTCATTCAATTTTCCTTGCATCTTTCCCGCACTTACGGTGACATTTCTGTATTGTCATTTAATTCGACCGTGTCAAGGATACAATTTAATTCTCGTCACCCGATAATCCCGGAAAAACAACGGCACGAATATTAATTTCATTTAACACTGTGACACACTCAGTTCACTATGTATAATATAATCCCAAACGAAATATTTTAATACATCTCTGACCGCGCGCGCGCGCACAAGTCAATGTTATTACCGAGAGTTCACCTAGCCACCAGAAACGAAAAAGGGGCTGAATCGATTAGAAAGGCAATTTACCTGATAGTCCATGTAATTTCCGTAGCCCATGTGGTTGCAGGTACAAGCGCACGCCTGGATATGCCTCCGCATGTCTAGCTCGACCTCCTCGCCGCAGACACCTCTGCTGGTGGCCATCATGGTATCCCCCATGCAATAACCGCTGGTACAATACATCCTCGGATCACTTTGGTCAAGGTAACCCCCGCCACTGTCGTCGTACCCAAGTCCACTGGCGCACCTGGAATCCGAGGTATATCCCACGCGTGATTGGGGACGTTCCTCGTATCCCAGTCTGGACTGGGGCTGATGGAAGGTCGGAGGTACATCCTGTAACAGAAATGTTTCTATTCAGAGAATTGATTTATTATTAGCGAGAAACAGCACTAGTCGTAGAATCTTTACTGTCTTAATTGACAGACTTAATGTAAACGTAGTAGACGAAATTCAAAGCATAAATGCATATGGAGGATTCAGAAGCTAATTAGTGTATGTCACAAAGTAAGTTCACAGAAATACAGTAAAGATTCGATGAGAATTGGATAAGAAGTTCCTAGTGAGAGATACTACTTCATTTCTACCACTTCGGAGGGGAGGCCGTGGAACGTGCGAAGCGCATAATTTATTGCCCCCCCCCCCCCCCTCACAGTAGATTTGTGTGATGTTAAAACAATTCGCGGTGCACCGTGAAAGTTTTGGAGCGGACCCGAGTTTCAACTCTCATAGGGTGATTACTGTAATTATTTAGCAAATGGACTGTAAGACAGTAATAACTGCTATTAACAAACAAAAAATGATTTATATTTATAGGATACATACATATGAAACTAGTTACGTATAAAATAGACAATGAACGTATATTTACACGGCATAAGTAAGTTTAAATGAAAGACTGCCTTATACTGATTTGCTTTTGTATCCTCCATATCTGGACCCTAGAGCCAGAGTTTATTAAGTCATGCTTTTTAAACTGTAGAGTAGAAGAAATCAAAGGTGCGAAACCCTTGTACGTTTGGAGCCGTCTGATAAGCATTCAACGAGTAACAATCACTACTTTTGAACTATTGAATAAACTTAAGGCAAGTCTCGGTATTTCAGAATGGTAAACATTTCAGTAAGTCCCCTATGTGATGGACTTTACACTGTTTGGCTCGGGACAAGATCTGAACGTAATATAATATCATATTTGCACTGTTATATCACAAACTGAACGATTTAGAACGAAATTATTTTTACCATCGGAAAGAGTAAAAAAACTGTTACGGGAAACATGTAAAAAATGTCAATTCTTTTTAAAAGGCGGACTTAATACACTCATGCTGTAGGGTTAACATAATACAGAATAATACAAATACAATACTTAGGCAAAAGAAGACGAAGAAATTGCAGAGACCGTTGCAATACATTTTTCAAAGAAGCATTTTTTATGAAGGACGTTTCAATCCTTGCCGGCAATGGTGGACATAAATCGGTGATTCAACAAAAGAGACTTCGGAATTGGCAAGCAACTCCACAATTATATAACATACTTATTTTTAAAAAATTGCAAAAGAAAGCTGTAAGCTACATTTATATAATTTCAAAACTTGAAAGTTTTCATGTAATACTTACACTCTCATTCGTAACTATTAAGACAATTATCGAATACGCAGTAAATGTTGCAAGGTATTACGAAATTTCTGAAACCCTCAAACAAATATTGTTCAGGGTATATTAGAGCTCAATGGGTAATGGTTATGCTACCATGAAGCAATGAACGTGGCCTAAAATATACAGGGTGAACCACGAATCGTGATCAGTAGAGATTACTCTGTTATTAGCAGTGCGATCGAAAATGTTTTCATCAGGTATAGCATGGTTTCAAGGGAGCTTTAGCGTGATCATAGCAAATTTTTTGTCAACTCTTTTTTTAAATAACATTATATAATTTTAAATACATTAACTGATCGTGTCGGGTGATCAGTGTTGGTGGTCATGAAGTAAAGTAAATGCATATTCGGTGGAATAACTCGGACACACTTGACGTCGCGACTCTTAACGTCGTATACCTGCGATCACCTGTGGCATGGACTCTACCCTTACATGAACCATTTCGTCCGTCGATGCCCAAGTTCGGTACACTGACCTACTGACCTACTGATACATTCAGTTTATTGGTCATTATTATTTTCTTAATTTAACGCAAGCTATGACTTTTTCCCAACGATAATTTTGCAAGTTTCTGTACCTAAATTTTTCTTCAGGCTTCTGAAAGAGATTAATACCATTATCAGTATCATTGTTGCCCGTTATTAAACTACGGATTTTTATACCAATACCGAACTTCGATCACTTCTCGTTGATTGTCTGTTACATTACCATTTCGTTAATACGTCATTTAAAAAGGAAATTTACAAATTCCTTAGCCTCTCTTGTCAAATAATTATTAGTTACCATTCTGTTTAAAGAAGTAAATATGCATTCGTCTTTTTACGTTACACATAATTTTCCTACATTTGTGCTTCATTGATTAATCTCTTTAAATAACAAACGACAGATGATGAAAAGTATGATTTTATTTGTTACGTCTTTTTTATTTGCTTTATACGCAGTTTCCTGTGATGCATGCCGACTTGCTTGTTCGGAGCTTCGTAGTACAATCGAGGCGCGTAGCCATCGCTACCGCGGGAGCTCGGCCGGTAGACTCACGCTCTGATTGGTCGAGGTTTTTCGTTAATACTCGTTAACAAATCGTCGGATAACATTTTCGCTAAGGAAAAAGGAAAAACTTTTCCCTATACATGTTATCGCCGCCCGGACTTAGTTTCCGAGATGTTCAGGAAAATATGTTTGAAATTACATTTTTTTTCAAAGTATTTATTTATTAATTAATTATCGAACCATGCACCTAATATCCCACCACACACCACCACAGACGAGATATAAGAATAGACCTAACATCTTATGGGACTTGGTGTCCCACGAAAATCACGCTGGTTAGAGCGCACTTCTACATAAAAGTTTCCGATATCAGGAATTACATTCGACACCGTGATAACGCACAGCACATACACACACATCCATGACTGCATATAGCGATACATACATTATTGCCCCGGTTTCGCTAGCAAGGAATGGAATTCTGAAATGGTACGGGGGCTTCTGACGCCCCCGAAACATGGCACAGAAAATTACATTACATGTTAGGTCTATCCTTATATCTCGTCTGTGACACCGCCCAGTGTTAACCACGTATTCAACATTTCACCAAACACAAGATACATGCATAATGTGCTCTGGAGCCCGGCGAAGAAACTTTTTTCCTGTTTTTGTAGATATTAATAACTAAACTTGTGTTTGGTAGGGTGTTTAACCAATTTATCGATGTATACTATCAGTCATAAATCTAAGTCCAACAAAATTTTTTTTGTGAATATCCAGAAATCAGGTGCAAACGCACCTATTGTTTTGGAGGCCGTCCCTCTCCCAAGACCCCCTTCCCGCTAACGAATCTAGTCTTAGTATAGTCTACACTAAAAACCAAATAAGACCATAACTGCTTCGCGCAGCTGGAATGAGCACCAGAGGTCTCTCTGTAACATGGGCGATAAAATTTGTCATACACCGGGTGACATAATGAAGTATTTCTCAAGATATGAATACTTATCAATTGGCACGTTTGTACTTCACAGTCACTCGATGTATGATGCTACACGAGGCATAATGATGCTCAATTGTTTAAGACGTTGGTAACTAAGGTAACCGAGAGGAATGTGCGCAAACAAGACCGAAATTCGTCATTTCGCAATTATGGTCTTATTTGGTTTTTAGTGTACGAATCTTCTCTTAAATATTGCATATTGACAATTTTTTCTTGACAACATAGTCAAAGTCGGGGTCATAAACGAGATTGCTTTCTTTCTACAGTTACCCAACAGAAGAAAACACGGTATACAATATCGAATATATTTTTGCGAATATCTCAGAAATTGAGACCGAGCAGCGGTTACATGTATAAGGAAAAGGTGTTCAGAATGTTGACCTTGACTAACATATTTCAAGGTCAACCAAATCGATAAGGAGTCCCTTATTAGGAATATTTACCATATTGTTCAGTCAGAAATAGAATAGTAGAATATTTATTGTTTCAATTAACAATTTTATGATCTTCTTTAACAAAGAATTTCTGAATGGAAAGGTAATATGCGCATAAAGTGGCTTCATTCAGCCATTTCTAAATTACACATGAATCGGTTCAGGTTTTACTTGTTACATCTGTTCTGTATGTTAAATTAATAATTCAGTCATCATTTAATATGATAATGAAAATCAAAATACCTCAATTATGGTTATAACCGAATAAAATTCATTCAACTAGTGAAATGTTACAATAACCTGGTTCAAAATATGCAACGAATATGTCGACTCTTTTACTGAAGCGTACCTCAATTAAAAATCGTCTACAGTGTGTGGAGTGACATTTGCATGTTGATTACATCACTTTCGAAGCATATTCCACAGAAATTAATTATAGATTAAAAATTTATAAGATTTTATTAAGCAAGTTGGTATTGAATAAAATAATATTCATGAATTTATGATAAACTTACAATAGAGGATTTGGAATACGTTAAACTATTTTCTAACACAAAATAAGAGCCTTTGAACTTTATAACTATATTAAAGACAGACGTTCGAAAAATCCAGAGAATAAAGGTATTGGAGACAGCACACTGTTACAATTTCAGTTTAAAACATTCATTTCGCATATTATGCTTTTAGAAACTATTATTCAAATGGAACGTATTGCGGTAAAATTCTGCGCCCCGTTCTGAAACCTCAGTTACATTCCTATAATATAAAGTTTGCTCGTTCTAATTAAGAATTTCATAATTTATTATTCTTTCGTTTTTAGTTCCAGTCCTAAGAACGGCTGCAAGTACTGTACATACAGAATTTACAATCACAGAAGTTTATCATCATTCACTGAAGAATATTTTAGTAACTATTAGTTTTTGGATCCATATACCCCAACAGTTTTTTACTCAATGTTCAACACTTTTTCCGATTGCAGGATGAAATTTTGCACATTACAATTAAAAAACTCAAAGTGACTTTTATATCTCGATAAAAAAGCAAAGTAACAGAAAACTAATTATTACATTATATGCCTCCTTCATACCACATAACTATTGTTTAAAACAGTTTCTCATATAACGAACAAATCACAAGTACCTACTTTAGGTAGCAGTGTTAATCATCCTGTATATCCCGATTTGCATTTTGATGGGCTGTATTAGGTACGTTTACCCTAATTGTAGTATATGAACGTATACTCTTAAAAATTAATG